GGTGCCGTTGGGATTTCACAGGGGTCTCATCACCACCCAGGCATCTTTTTTCTTTACATTTACTGAAAACCAAGCATCTTCCTGCTCTGTCTGTAGTGGCGGGTGGCCCCACCTCTGCTGGGGCACACACAGGTGGGTGATGTGGGATGGGTAGGTAGAGCCCTGGCTCCCCATTCCTTCTGCATCTGGTCCTCCTGGACCCCATTCCTCTTGGATCCCATTTTTTCCTGGACACCATTTCTTCCTGGACCTTCATTCCTCCTGGACCCCATTTCCTCCTGGACCCTGTTCCTCTTGGACCCCCATTCCTCCTGGATCCTGTTCATCCAGGACATCTTTTCTTCCTGGAGCCCCATTCCTCCTGCAACCCCATTCCTCCTGGAGCCCTTTTTCTCCTGACCCCCTGTTCCTCCTGGATCCCGTTCATCCAGGGCATCTTTTCTTCCTGGATCCCTATTCCTCCTGGACATTCATTCCTCCTGGACCACATTCCTCCTGGACTCCCATTTACTTCTGGGCCCCCATTCCTCCTGGATCCCATTTCCTCCTGGACACTGTTCCTCTTGGACCTCCATTCTTCCTGGATCCCATTCATCCAGGACATCTTTTCATCCTAGATCCCATTCCTCCTGGATTTCTGTTCCTCCTAGACCCCCGTTCCTCCTGGACTTCTGTTCTTCCTAGATCCCCATTCTTCCTGCATCCCTGTTCCTTCTGGAGCCCTGTTTCTCCTGAACCCCAGTTCCTCCTGGCCCTCCATTCCTTCTGGAACCTTGTTCCTCCTGGATCCCATTCCTGCTGGACCCCCCACCTCTTCCTGCCCCCCCCCTTCCTCCTGGCCTCATGGCAGCAGCTGGGAAGGCACATTTGGGGAGCAGGGTTTCACTTCGGGGAGGGGCTGATGTACACATCTTCAAGAAGGAGCTGGGAAAACTCTCTCCCCAGAGGAAGGTCCTGGATTGCTCTGTTTAAAGGGAAGACCTGAGCTGTCCTTGTCCCTGTTCTCCTGCTGTCCCACGTCCCCATGCAGGACATCCTGGCAGTGATGCATCTTAGAGATCAGAACAGATCTTTTTTTAAAAAAGAAGGAAAAATGCACTTTGTGGAACTAAGGTTGGAACTAAGGTGGAACTAAGGTGGAACTAAGGAACTAAGGCTCTTTTCCAGCATCCCAGCATCACGTTCTCTGTCTGGGGTAAATATGGAGGTACATCTCCATCCTGAAATGCTGAGGATTCAAGAATTAATTTCCACCTGTGTATTTTAAAGCAGCTTCCCGTTCCTGATGGACGTAGAGATAGCGCAGATACCCTGGAACATGCAGACCAGCAGAACCAGAAAAACCTGACCGTTGTGCTCGGTACCTGTTATCATATATAAAAAGGAAAATACAAAGATGAGAGAAGACAAGGTCTGGCCTTCTTCCAGATATTAAAGGTCTTAAAATGCTATAAAAGACTAAGGCAAGTGTGAATTCAGGCATATTCTGTCCAGGTTTTCATGCCGTGTCCATCAGCCTACTACGTACGTGGCCGCACAGAGCAATTTCAATCCTTACTCTGATTTTGATCAGCCTTTTCTACACCAATATTTATCTCCCAGAAGCCTTTTTAACCTTAATACCCCCCCAAAAAACCCCAGTCTGGGGTTTCTTGTTGGTTTTCCCTTTACTGAGCTGTCTCAAGCAGAGTGTGGTTCACACCTGAGCGTGCACGGGGATGCTTGGGTACCCGAGCGTGATGGGGATCGTGGAGAGGAAGAGGAGGCAGTGATTTGCACACCCAAAAGCAGAACCTGCCCCTTCCTCCCAGCCACATTTTAGGATTTCTCCTCGGTTGGGAGTTTTTCTTCCGCTCCCGGTCTGCCGAGTGCCGCAGTTCTAGGGGACTGTTTAAAGAGATGGAAAGAAATGAAATATTAATAGAACTTCAAAGTGAGTTGGATTCTCCGAAGATAAATATTATTTATAATCTACACTCCCGGGCCGGGGGGAACGATTCGTATCTGGGCTCCACCTCAGGGGCAGAGCTGCTGTTTGTGTAACAGCCAAACCGGTGGCACTGCTGGTTTGGGGGGGGGGAAGGCAGAAAATACAGCATCCCTCCCTGTCCCGGGGGTGCCAGGAGCTGCCCCCACCCCAAGTCAAAGCAGGAGTTTTTCTTCCGCTCCCGGTCTGCCGAGAGCTGCAGTTTTAGGGGGCTGTTTAAAGAGATGGAAAGAAATGAAATATTAATAGAACTTCAAAGTGAGTTGGATTCTCCGAAGATAAATATTATTTATAATCTACACTCCCGGGCCGGGGGGAACGATTCGTATCTGGGCTCCACCTCAGGGGCAGAGCTGCTGTTTGTGTAACAGCCAAACCGGTGGCACTGCTGGTTTGGGGGGGGGGAAGGCAGAAAATACAGCATCCCTCCCTGTCCCGGGGGTGCCAGGAGCTGCCCCCACCCCAAGTCAAAGCAGCTGATGGTGTTTAAAGGAGAAGAGTAAAAAACCAACCTATTTTAGGGACATCTGAGGCGCCTTTGCTGTAAAAGGGGGTGTTTGGGTGGGACAGAGCATCCCATGGAGAGGGGAGACGTGGTGGCCTGGTGACAACCAGCCCCTGTAGCCCTCTGCTTGTGGGACTGCTTGGTGTGGGTCGCTTTTGATCTTCTCTGGTAGATACCTGGGTGTGCACCTGCACACACGCACGTGAAGGTGTTTGTAGCCCGGTGGAGTTGGAGTTGAGTCTTTCTGCGGGTAACGAAGCCCAAAGGTTGCCCAAATCTTCTTGCAAGCGACTGAAGCTGGAGAAATGAATTATCCAGGAAAATCCACTCTGGAAGGGCTGTTGCAAGGTGTTGGTGTGTGTAGCCATGGAGGTGGAAAGTGTCGGTGTTTCGGAGCAGCCCCCTCTCTGTGGCACGGGGAGGATCAGGGCTGAGCCTGAGCTCCATCCCATCTCGGGATGCCGGCCTGCCGCCCGGAGAGAGGGGAAAAGGGGCTCAGAGATGAGCAAGGTGGATAAGAAATGGGTTTTCTTTCGTGGAGGGGTGGCCATGGGCTGGGCTTGCTCTCTAAGGAAGCCTAGAGTTTGCCAGTTGGCAGGAGAAATGCTGCAAATCTCAACAAGGGAGATGGATCACGCAGTGGGTTGTGAAAGAGAAGAAAAGAACTGATTTATTTGATAGATTTCATCGAATGGTTTGGGTTGGAAAGGACCTTAAAGATCATCTCGTTCCAATGCCCCTGCCCTGGGCAGGGACACCTCGCACAAGATCAGGTTGTCCCTCTCCAAGCTGGACCACCCAACTGGAGGCATCTCCTGCAGCCCCGTAACAGAGGTGGTCCAGGGGAGGAGGTGGGCTGCTCCAGGGTCTGGGTCTCACTGTCTCTGGGTCTGTCTGTCTGTCTGTCTGCGCAGGTCATGGACAGAGCCCAGGGGGGTTGGCAGGAAGAGGGAGGGACGCAGAAGGAGCCATGGCCTCTGTCACAGCTCCTTTATGTCTTCCAGCTGCTCTCGGGTGCTCTGCTCCAAGGAGGGCGGTGGTTTGCCCACCAGAAGTGGCGTCATATGTTTCTTTGTCTTCATCAACCTCAAAACTAAGTGGTTTTCATCTTTTGTAGAAAAATGTAGATCGGAGGGAACTTTGGATGGAGGAGGAAGGGATGAAACCCCTGCTCGTGGTGGGGCCACCTTTAGCATCAGGACCAGCTCCAATGCTTGGTTGGGTTGACCAAGGTCATGTCCAGCTGAGGGGGTGTCTCTGGGCTTGAAGGACAGCCTGTTTCTTTCATAAGTGTGGGGAAAAAGTACTTTTTCTCCTCAGAAGGATGTCATGGGGATATGACTGCATTCTCTGCGTCAAGGTTCCAGGAGGCAGGACTCGGAGCCGAGCTCCAAGTGCTCTGTAACAACCCAGTCTCTCCTAAAGCCAAATAACGCCGGTTTGGGGTTTTTTTTCTTAGTATCTCATGTTTTAAAAAATTAGAACGGCTCAACAAGGAGAGAGTTTTTGTCTCTGCTCTTTTGCACTTGCTTTCGGTTATTTGCGTTTCGTCTGGTAGTAAAAGATTTTTCTCAAGTTCCCCTTGGCAGGATTCCCTTTTATCTCTCGTGCTGCGGTCTCGCCGTGCTGTTAACAATTATCCTATATTATCTTGTAAGTCTGATTAGAAACATCCCTCCATCTTTTTTTGTTATCTATCTGCCCCGGCGCTTCGCTTTGGGAGAATAAAGAGCCGTTTGCCGTTCCCTGCCGGGTTTAGCGCCCCTTTTTCCCTCGAGCGTGAGGGGACGTGGGCACCCCAGGTGGAGACGTGGGCACCCCAGGTGGAGCAGGGAGTTTTTGGGGCTGTCTGTCTGTCCCTCTAGCTGTCTGTCCATCCCTCTCCACCACCAGCATTATGATGGCATCACCGGAGTGGTTAATAAAACCTTAATTGGCGTATTCCCCGCCATCAGGGATGGGGCCCCGTCGGGTTGGGGACTGGGTAATTAATGAAATACAGCGAGCGCTAATTTGGACGGGTCTTCTCGTTGTTTTGTTTTTTTTTTTTGGAAAGGCAGGTGACACGTTATTACGTTTGGAGGTGGGGGGGGGGAAGGATGTGCTCCCCCGAAATGGAAGCGGGCTGCCAAATTGAAATTCCTGCCGGCTTTCCGCTGGCGGTGGGGGAATTGCGAAGCCCGCAATTAAGCATATGGGCATTAAGATAATTGTCAGATCTGTTGGCGGACGTGATGGAAGACAGATGGGGAGGACTGGGCGCGCTCGGCTGCGGCACCCCGGGAGGCCATTGGAGGTTTTTTACCTGCCGGGGAGCTCTGCTCGGTGGGGTTTTGTCACCGGTGCGTGCGGCGGGGATGGACGGGCTGTCTGCGCCCTCTAGTGAAACACAGCCCTGTGTCGGGGCTCACCGTGTCCCCCACATCCCTCTCTCCCCCCTGGGGGTCCCCTCTTTCCCCACCAGCGCAGGTTCTCACCATCTTCTCTCTCCTCTCCTCTCCCCGGCAGGTCGGAGCGCACCGGGAGGACGGGGTCAGTCTCCGCGGCGGCCACTCGCTCGTGCCAAACCAGGTCCCGGTCCCCCAGCTGCCCGTCCAGTCCGCCACATCCCCGGATTTGAACCCGCCCCAGGACCCCTACAGGGGTGAGTACCATCCCGGATCCACGCTTATGGGCCCAGGGATGCTTTGCTTTGTGAGAGGGTGGAGCCATAGGAGGAGGGAGAAGAGTTTGACACTGGAAGAGGGGAGATGGAGATGAGATCTGGGGAAGAACTTCTTTGCCGTGAAGGTGGTGAGAGCCTGGCCCAGGTTGTCCCGAGAAGCTGTGGCTGCCCCATCCCTGGAGGGGTTCAAGGCCAGGTTGGAGGGGGCTTGGAGCAACCTGGTCTCATTCCTACCTAGAGGATCTTCAAGGTCATCAAGGCTGAGGGAAGACCAAGGTGGAGGTCGGCCTCTTCTCCCAAGAAATAGGCGGTAGCACAAGAAGAAATGGCCTCAAGTTGTCCCAGGGGAGGTTCAGGATGGATATTGGGAACAATTTCTTCACCGAAAGGGTTGCCAAGCCTTGGAAGAGGCTGCCCAGGGCAGTGGTGGAGTCCCCATCCCTGGAGGGATTTAAAAGCCAGGCAAACGTGGTGCTGAGGGACATGGGTTAGTGGTGGGTTTCTTAGTATCATATAATCGTCTAGGTTGGAAGGGACCTTAAAGATCATCTAGTCCAACCATCAACCTAACTATGACAAAAAAACCAACCAACAAACACAAAACAAAAAAACCCAAACCACACACACACCACTAAACCATATTCCTGAGGACCATGTCAACCTGTCTTTTGAACACCTCCAGGGATGGTGCCTCAACCACTTCCCTGGGCGGCCCATTCCAAGGCTGGATAAAGTTTGTCAGTGGTGGGTTGATGGTTGGACTCGATGATCTGAAAGGTCCTTTCCAACCTGGACAATTCTATGATTCTATAAGAAGTTTAAGAAAAGAAGTGTAAGAGAACTCTGCAGGACACACATCAGAAAGCCATGAGTTTAAGGTGATACCCAGACCCACAGATTTTCCAGCACCTTTAGAGTTCTGCCTGTGGGCAGAGGGTGCCTCTCCTTGGCTCCCAGGACGTGCTGCACCCTCCGAAGCCTGGCAGATACCTCTGCAGGGTTGTTGCCAAGCAGGCCTGGAGGTGGCCAAACCCAGAGGACATCGGGGTTTGTCATTATTCCTAGAGGCAGCAGATCTTCCCATTAAAGTGTGGAAGAAAGAGCCTAAAATATTATGAAGCTGCTCATTCGTTGCAGCCAAGGTATTTTTGTTATTTTGAGAATGGTGTTATTAAAGATGATTTTTTTTTAAGGTGAAGGGAAAGTTATGTTGTGTTGAAGAACAGGAGTAGCAGATAGGTGTCCTGTGCCCTCTCCACGGCTACCTAAAAGCTGGAAATGCCAGCCTGGGCAAGGTCCCAAGGTCCAGAACTGCTTCAGATGTAGCTGATGTTTTGTAGATGCTGAACCCTCATCTGTCCCTGAAGGCAGAGGAGCAGAGCTGGACCTCGAAGCCCCATCTGAAACCCCCTTTTCACAGAATCACAGAATGCTATGGGGTTGGAAGGGACCTCTGGAGATCATCTAGTCCAACCCCCTGCCAGAGTTCCTTCTCGTGTTTAGGTGGAACTTCTTATGGTCAAGTTTGTGCCCATTTCCTCTTGTCCTGTCCCTGGGCACCACTGAAAAAAGCCTGGCCCCATCCTCCTGACACCCACCCTTCAAGTATTTATAGGCCTTGATCAGATCCCCCCTCAGCCTTCTCTTCTCCAGACTCAAAAGCCCCAAGTCCCTCAGCCTTTCCTCATCAGAGGGATGTTCTATTCCCCTCATCATCTTTGTAGCCCTCTGCTGTCCCCTCTCCAGCAGTTCCCTGTCCCAGTTGAACTGGGGAGCCCAGAACTGGACCCAGTGCTCCAGATGGGACCTCACCAGAGCTGGCCTGGCTGGGGTTGTCCCTTTCCCTGGGGCTAGAGGGGACAGATAATGGACTGTTGAGGGTTGGCTCTACCCCTGGTTGACCCTGTGTTCTCCTGCAGGCATGCCCACCGGACTGCAAGGGCAGAGCGTCTCCTCGGGCAGCTCCGAAATCAAATCCGACGACGAGGGAGACGAAAACCTCCAGGACACCAAGTCTTCTGAGGACAAGAAACTAGAGGATGACAAGAAGGATATCAAATCAATTACTAGGTCAAGATCTAGGTAACAGTATATAATAGTGTCGCTTCATTTAATTCCTTTACTGGATTTCGATGAAGTGAACAGAACAGGAGGAAACCGTGAGGTTTTTTTCCTGGCAGGTAAAACCACAGCCTAAGTTGGAACGTGGCTGTTCTGGCAGTACCGAGCGCCTTTCTGGTCCCTGTACTCCAGGACGTCCTCAAATTCCAAAACGATTCACTAATTTGGACCCTGAGCAAGTTCTCTGCAATCTCCAAAGAAATGGCGTTAACGCTCCAATCTCTGCATTAGGCTGTTATTCCTCTCTGCCTGTGCTTGCAAATTGGAATACAGTATGGATTTCCAATTCTCTCTCTCAAAACGTGCCGAGGAGCTGACGGCACCTGCGTCTGAGCTAACCAACCCTGTGCTTCTCTTTTACCTCCCAAATACATTTGTCATTCCCAATCCTGGATTCCTGCAAATCCCTAGGGCTTCCCTACAGGGTGTAGAGGTGTTTACTCGTTGGGTGTATCCTTTATCCATTTTTGGAAGGTATAAGTGCAGTGCTAGTTGGATTTTCTCATCTGGAAACCGATGCCCATGGGGAATGTGAAGCCATGGGTGCTGCAAACGTGGTCCTGGGCAAGGGACAACCTTTCCTTCCGTCCCTGGAAAATAAAATAAAGCTGCAATCCAGGCCCGGCCTTGCTTTGTGCGGGGGATTTATTTATTATTATTTTTTTTTGAAGATGAATGGCAGTGTCCTTCTGCCTTTCCTCCTTCCACCGCTCAGGCCGGCGCCCGCCCCTGTTTAAACCGTTAATTACATTCACGTCTCTCCCGACTGGAGAAAATAGATGACACTCGAGATTTTCTCTGAATAAATGTGTTGAAGTCACCATATGTAGAAGTGAGGCTTTCATGTGCGGTTATGAGATGGTAAGAAGAAAGCACCTTTATGCTGATGTGAGGTGATCGTACTTCTTGTTAATTCAACAAATATGCTCTGGCTTATGCATATTTATACGGGCTTTGAAGCTTTTGTAGGCTAACGTTTTTTGCTTTTAACATGCTTGCAGCTTTAAAAGGTTACTCCCGATATTTAGTTATGTGTCTAAATCCATGTTGTTAGGGCTGCTGAAAATGTATTACTCCATTTGCATAACCAATTCAAATTATATGGTGCCAGTGACTCACCAGTGGATGCGTTTCCAATTCCAGATCATCATTTTAGCCGGATAGAAGGCAGTTTTGCAGCAGAAAGGCTGCAGAAGTTCATCGTGGGGCCCTTCACGGCCATCAATTAGTTCCGTGGCTCTTTGCCCAGGGCTTTTTGGGTGCCCTGGGCTCCGTGGGGGGCTCAGTCCTGCTGCCCCTGGCCCCCCACTGCCAAGGTTTGGGAGGACGGCAGCTCCCCACTTTTGGTAGCGGAGGAAATTCCTTCCAAAACCCTAATGATGGTCTCCTGAAAGGGAAACATCGAGATGCGCAGTTGTCTTTCTGGCTTGGAAGCTGCTGCTGAGTGGGGATTTGCCATGATTTAAAAATGTCACAATATTGGCTGCCATAAAATATGCTACTGAAAAAAAAACTTCTTTGAAACTATCCAAAGTCCTGCTTTGGGGACCGTAAAGCTTTGTTACAAACCATGGCTTTGCCCAGTATAAAATTGAAGGAGACTGGACTTTGTGTAGGTTTGGTGGAAGAGGAGCAGCAGATAAGAATGGCTCAGAAGGTGTCTGTTCCTGATTTGTTCATGACTTTGGAGAAAGTCTGTTGAAAACTCTTTGCGCTGCTCATTCCCCGCATCATTAGAAAATGGTGTGTTCCTTTTTGTCTCCCAGCAATAACGATGACGAAGACCTGACACCGGAGCAGAAGGCCGAGAGGGAAAAGGAAAGGAGAATGGCCAACAACGCTCGGGAGCGCCTGCGCGTCCGCGACATCAACGAGGCTTTCAAGGAGTTGGGCCGGATGGTGCAGCTCCACCTGAAGAGCGACAAGCCCCAGACCAAGCTCCTGATCTTACACCAGGCCGTGGCCGTCATCCTCAGCTTAGAGCAGCAAGTCAGAGGTCAGTGTGTCACCTCTCGGTGTCTCCTGATGTTCCTCCTGGGCTTTGGCCGTGCCAAAAACACCTTCCTGGGTTGGGGAAAGCCTTCAGGGGCAACGGGTGTTGGGGAGGAGGCAAGACCTTGGCACCCAGAGCCAGTGGGGTACCTCCGACCACCTGGGGTGGTTGTCTTCTCCTCCAGCTCCGTCACTGGGGATGCTGGGGTGGCTCCTGGGACATTTTACCTTCTTTAGCAACATCCAAACTCAATATTGAGCTTGGTTTCTCCATTGCAACGCTCAAACAGAGGTTTTTGCAGAGCTTGTGTATGGAATCACGTAGCATCTTGGTGCTTGGCTTGACCAAGCTGCATCCTCCACTTGGAACGTTGGTCTCTTCTCCCAAGGAACAGGCAATGGGACAAGAGGAAATGGCCTCAAGTTGCCCCAGGGGAGGTTTAGGATGGATATTGGGAACAATTTCATCACCAAAAGGGTTGTCAAGCCTTGGAAGAGGCTGCCCAGGGCAATGGTGGAGTCCCCATCCCTGGAGGGATTTAAAAGCCGGGTAGACACGGTGCTGAGGGACACGGGTTAGTGGTGGCTTTGTCAGTGGTGGGTTGATGGTTGGACTCAGTGATCTGAAAGGTCCCTTCCAACCCGGGCAATTGTATGATTCCATGATTCTATGACCAATCAGGTATAAAAATGTGAATAATTGAAACAACCTTTTTGCTTCCATTCAACAGAAAGGAACCTGAACCCGAAAGCGGCGTGTCTGAAAAGAAGGGAAGAAGAGAAAGTATCTTCAGATCCTCCTCCGCTTTCCCTGGCAGGACCCCACCCTGGGATGGGAGATGCCTCCAATCACATGGGACAGATGTAAAAAAAAAAAAAAGAAAAAACGACAAAAAAAAGGCAAGTTTATTTGCAGCTGTGCCCCTTGGACACCGATTTTCGGGTGGCTGGAGGAGGGTGTAGGGACCCCGCGCTCACCTCTCTGGGACTGATGAGATTTTTTACTTCTTCCACAGGTCCAAGTTGCCACATTTCTTCATTTAAAGCAAGAGACCACTTCCTTAACAGCTGTATTATCTTAAACCCACATAAACACTTCTCCTTAACCCCTTTTTTTGTAATATAAGACAAGTCTGAGTAGTTAAGAATCACAGACGCAAGAGATTTCAGCATTCCCGAGTATTAAAACCGAGAGGAAAAAAAAAAAAAAAAGAACAAAAACCACAAAAAAAACACAACCAACCAACCAACAAAACAAAACAAAACCACAAACAAAAAAGTGCAACTTGAGGGACGCGACTCTCTTTAACATATCACGCAGAATGTCTAACGCAGTATGTTACGAGCTGTAAGTGCACAGCCTAGAGACTGAATGGCAATCTTCTCTCTCCACACTGTGGGACAATGCATTTGTGCCTAAACTTCTTTTGGAAAAAAGGAAAAAAAAAAAAAATATAATGAATTTGTAAGTCTGAAAAAAGAAAACAAAAAAAAAAAAAGAAAAAAAAAAAACTATTTAATTTAAAATTGTAAAACTTGCAATAATGAAAAAGTGTACTTCTGAAGAAAACAAACAAACAAACAAAACAAAAAAAAAATGAGCGTTTTTGTTGGTGTGCTTGACAGCTAGTGTTTATACTTACTGGATATTAAAAGGGAAGCTTTGCTGCCCAGATATTTACAAAACCAGCAAACGTCCTAATGAAAACTGAAGCGATGACATTAGCCATTCCTTAGGGTAGGAGGAACAGATGGATCTTATAGACCTATGACAAATATATATATATAAATATATATATAAATATATATTAAAAATTTAGTGAATATGGTAAGCTTTTGTTCATTTGTTTCAGACTTTTTTGCTCCTGTAAAAAAATAGTACTGATTAACTTTTTTAAAAAGAAGATTTTACTGTAAATAAGGAATTTTTTTGTCTTATTTCTGTCCCTCTCCCCTGTTTTTTGGGTTTTTTTGGGTTTTTGGTTGGGGTTTTTTTTTTTTTCTTTGTTTGTTTTGTTTTTTGGTTTGTTTTTTTTGTTTGTTTGTTTTTTTCTTTTTTTTGTTATTGAGTTGTTGGGTCAATTGATGAACTGAGGAGACTGGAACCCAGGCTCCAAGCAATAGACAGCCCAACG